ACAAGGCACCGCACGCGCATGTTCTATCGCTGCTATTCCCTCTACCACATGACCAACGTATTTTCCAGCAAATTTCCTCATTAAATTAAAAATCCATCCTTTATATATATATATATACATACATAAACTTGCATATATACTTAACACACACACACACACACACACACCTTTGTCTTCCTGATTCCGTTCCATCTTCGTCAACTAACAGTCAATTATAATTTCACCAAAAAAAAAAAAGAAAGAATTCCATCAATGGCGGCTTTCACGAATTCAATCAGATCAATCACTCACAAGGCCCAGTTATCAGCTGCTTTCCCTTCGTCGGCAAAAGTGATTTCTGGTTTTCCGGCGAATCATTTCAAGATTCCGGCAAACAATAACTGCCGGAGATTTTCCAGAGGTCTCTCGACTCAAGCCTTCTTCTTCAGAAAACCTAAGCCCGCCGCCGAGCCTTCAAGGCCAAGTAAGCAACTCATCAGCTATTTAATTAACCGTTTTAATTACTCTAATTAATTTGTTTCGTTTGCATAAATATTTGGATCTCTATTTAATTTTTCGTTGTAATTATTTACGAAGTTCATGTTGCATTATAATGATTAGTAAAAAATTACATGGATCTATCTTCGTCTATTCAAATTTTGTTATATTTGATTTTATTATTTAGTTAAACCTCTATAAATTAATACAGTTCATACTTGCAAAATTTTATTAATTTAGTGAAATATTAAATTATCGAACTAACAATTTAGTATGTTTACACACCGAGTTGAGATTGAAACAAAATTATTATTTAAGCAATGTTATTAATTTATCGAGGTTCTACTATACATTCAAATACATATTATGATTTAGGCCAAATTATGGCCACCCCGTGAGGTATGACCAAATAAAGAAACTCCCATCTTGTTTTGGTAATTACAACCACCCCCTACTTTTAAATATTTTTACATAAACTTTATGTAATTCAGTTATTTACCGAATCAAATCGTATATTCAGTTCGATAAACATACCGAAATTTTGGTTCGATTTTACCGATTTAACATCCCTAAATTTACTCATGGAGAGGTATTTTCGCAAGATAATATATAGTTTAGGGACGGCCGTAATTACCCAACCAGGAGGGGGGTGTTCGTAATTTGACCATAACTCAGGGGTGGCCGTAATTTGCTCTAAAGATTACACTAGACACGGCCACCACGGGTCCGTTTTGCCACAGACCCGCCCCATTTTTGTAACTACTTTACCTAAACATTTTTCAATGACAAAATTTGTGGCATTTAATTTTCCAGCAAAGGTTCAAGAATTATACGTGTACGAAATCAACGAGCGAGACCGTTCGAGCCCGGCGTATTTACGATTAAGCCAGAAGGAAGTCAACTCCCTCGGAGACCTAGTCCCGTTCTCCAACAAGCTCTACTCCGGCGACTTGCAAAAGAGGCTAGGCATCACCGCCGGATTATGCGTCCTAATCCAACATTCGCCGGATAAGAAGGGTGATAGATACGAGGCAATGTACAGCTTCTACTTCGGTGATTACGGCCACATTTCTGTCCAGGGTTCGTATTTGACTTACGCCGACACCGTTTTGGCCGTCACCGGCGGGTCGGGTGTTTTCGAGGGGGTTTACGGGTCGGTGAAATTGAAGCAGATTGTTTTCCCGTTTAAATTGTTTTATACTTTTTATTTGAAGGGGATAAAGGATTTGCCGGCCGAGCTGGTGGTGACGCCGGTGGAGCCCACTCCGGCGGTGGAGCCGTCGCCGGCGGCTAAGGCGGCCGAGCCTCAGGCGACTATTTCCAACTTCACTAATTGAATGTGAGGGGATTTTTATTTAGCTTTGTTGGAATTATTATATTAAGCTTTATTGCTTTTTTTTTTAATTATTTTCCACGTGTATTGTCATTATTGGTTGTTGGTTGCTTTTGTGTATATTGGTTTCTAGTGCATTTTACAATTAAATTGTTAGTCCTATTTTCATGGCACTATCTGAATTCAAGATTCAAATTTTTGTTAGATTGCATTTGGGTTTAAGGATCTCAGTCTCACGAAATAATTTAGGGAAATAATAAATTTATAATAGATTTTTTAAATCATCATTTTTATAAGAAACTAATAGATTACTAATTTAGAAAAAGGGTCCATTAGATATACACCCCTCATGTGGAAAATAAATAGGAATAGGTCCACCCCTAAAATTCTTTCTTTGAGATAACCCCCTAGAGAGGGAAAAGTACTATTGTGCCCTTATTTACAATTTTCGCCCAACTGCATTCAGCATTTTTGCTACTGCATTTAGTATTTTCGTTT